CTGGGAGGGAGAGCCGGAGAGGAGAGGGTAAGAGGGCGGGGGAGGCGCGCACACCCCGGGGCCTCCTGCGGGTCCGGGGGCGCCGCGAGTCTCCGCAGCGCCCGGAGCAGCAGCCGAGGGCCACCGGCGTCAGCGGGTCCTCGGCCGCCACGGACACGTTTCCGCAGCGGAGCGCCCTTCGGCGTGTGGCACTCAGAGACTCAGCGAGGATCCGGCAACCCCCGACGTGGCACAGCGCGGGGAGCCTCTGCGCGTCACGGGGCCTCTACTGCAGGCCACGCAGCCACCGGCGCCCAGTCTCTCCAAACCTCGCTGTGCGCAAGGTACAACAACGTGTGAGCGTGCAGCAGAAAGTGCAAGAGACACATGCCCGGAGACAGACGTGGGTCCGACACCCCGCGCGTCCGGGCCCATCCGTGCCCATCTCGGAAGACAGATTCAAAATCATCCTAACCAAAGCTTCTTGACTAGTTGGGAAAGTGGAATTTAAAGTGGTTTCCAGTTGAGGGAGACGAGGCGGGTTAAGGAAGCCAGGGGAGGTGGGAGGAGGAGAGGAAGGAGGGAAGGAAGAAGCGAAGGGAGGTGGCGCGGAGCTCGGCGGATCCCCTTACCTTGAGCGGCCGAGCCGGTGCCGCTGGCGCTGAGCAGGGCCAGGGCAGGTAGCACGAGCATCTGCAGCACGTATCCCAGCCCCAGTCCGCAGCGGGCCGCTGTCGCCCGCAGACCTTTCCTCATCGTCGACAGAGGTGCGCCGGGGGGAGGCACACACGGAGGAGCGCCGACAGCGGAGAGCCCCACCGGGCAGCAGCGGAATCCGTGCACCGCGAGGCTGTCTGAAGGAGTAACGACGACCGAGCGCCACACTCCACTTTCTCCGAGGGCAGGGGCCAAAGGGGGGTGGAGAGGAGTCGCTGAGGAGGAGTTTGGAGGTCCCGCTTTCCCTGTGCCTGCTAACAGGCGGCTCCGTGAGCGGCGGCTCTGCCCCCACTTGGGAAGTCCGGGAAGGCGTAGGGCGGCCACCTCGCCGCTCCCCTCAGCAGCGGGAGCAGCCGCAGCTCCGCCGCGCGCCGAGCCCGGACTGTTCCCCGGGTCCCCTCGCCTGTGCCGAACACACACAGGCACGCGGGGCGGGGGGCGGGCGGCGGGCGGAGGGAGAGGAAGAGAGAGCAAGAGGAGGAGGGAGCGGAGGGAGGGAGTTGTGCACAGTGAGGCGCTCCCGTGTCCAGTCTCGGGGTTCTCACGCGGGCGGAGACACTTCCCGGCTGCGGCTGCTGGGTGGCCGAAGAGGGTCACCTAGTAGTGCGGGGCGCACAGGCGCGCCGAGGGGTTCGCCCAGGAGGCGTGGAGGGCCCAGCCCAACTCCGCTGGGATGTAAGAGGCGGCGGGAGCGCGCCCGCCCTCCTGCATTAGAGAAGCGAGGACTGCGGGAGCGGCGTGCCCGGAGCCGGAGGTGGAGAGCGGCTGTTGGTTTCTCTGCGGAAGCTGAGGCGAGAGCGACCTGAGGAACGAAGCGTATTGGGAGCGTGGGAGCGTGGGAGCGCGCCGGCCTCACGCCGTGCGCCAGACCCGGACTTTGAGAGCAGCGGGCGCGCCCCGAGCCCCTTGGCTGTGTCCAGTCTGCCGCCTCCCAGCTCCTCCACGGCGCCGCCAGAGCCTGAGCCAGACTCCCCGTGACTGGACTCGCTCTACGACTTCGGGTCTTGCGGTTGATTAGGCGGGGGTGGGGGGGTGGGGGGGGTCGGGCTTGAGCTGAAGTCCTGCGGGGCCGGGAAGAAGGCATGAAGCTTTTGCAGAGCCCAGCCCGCGGCAGTCTTGGAGTGGTCAGCGCCACTCAGACTGCATTATGCTCTGGGTGCCTATGACTCCTCTGTAGTGGAACAGAAACCAAAAGCTCAAGGAAAACTCATTCTTCAACAGAGCTTTATTTTCGTGCACCTTGGTGGCTGGCAAGGTTGAGTATGTAAAGAGTGGTGAGATGAAACCGGAGAAACTCCCAGAAACGATGCACAACAAAATTGTAGATACTCAAAGTGATGGCGGAACCTATGACATGTTTTCCAGATTCCTAACGGTGTGTGTGTAAGGACTCAAACTGCAGTGCGTTTTTATTATTTTTCCTCAGGAAAGAATTGCCTGGGTAGCTAAGTTGTGGATCCCTGTTGTAATGGTGAAGGGGAAATGTAATAACGGGTGGATAAAATAAGGAAAGGCTGGACAAAAGGAAAGTGGATGGATGGAAAGTCCAATACACATTGGCACACTGACCTTCCAGGAAGAAGAAAACCACTTCCCAAGATTATTGCATTTCTAAACTAATATTAAATAATATATCAGAGAAATTTTAAGCTCTTGGTGCCAAGGGGGCAATGTGTAAACACACACACAGGCAGGAAGCTTGTGGTCTCATCTTGGCTGTGGTCCTAACTCATTCTGTTATCCTACAGGTCAGGTGAACTGCATGTCTCAGTTTCTCCATCTGTGAAATATTTTATTAGATAGTTTCAAAGTTAACCTCCATCTAAACCTCTAGCCAATAAGACCTGTCTTGGATGAATCTGGTAGATCTGAAAAGGTCATTCTTGGCAAAGACATTGACAAATCTGGCCACTTCTTATTTCTGTGGAGGCACAGCCTGCCCTGCTAAAATCACTTCTTCTCCCTCTTCAGCTTTGCTACACCAAGATACCAAGATATTTTGGTAAGAAGATCAGAAGTTCCTGTGTCAGACTGTCTGAGCTTAATTCTTAGCATTTCGTATTACTAGCTGACCGACATTGAAAAATAAAGCTTGATGCTTCAGTTTCTTAATCTGTAAGATGGGTCTATTTGCAGTAGCTATCTTCTAGGTTTTTGTGAGAGATAAATGAGTTAAACATATGTGAAGTGTCTGACACATAAAACTGTTAGCTCCTGTCCTTATTTTTGAGGAAAGATTCCCATCAGCTGCATGCTGGCTAGACCAGTGCTGTCCAACAGAACATTCTGCAATGAGAAACATATTTGTATCTATGCTTTCCAAAGTGGTAGTCATTAGACACATGTGGCTATTGAGCACTTGCAATGTGACTAGTGTGAATTGGGGAATTTTATGTAATTAATTAATTTTAATTGCCACATGGCTAGGGGCTACCATGTTGGACAGTGCAGCTTGGCCACTTATAACATCATTTATTTTGAGGATGGCATCAATAGAAAGGGTTCTGTTTATCTTTCATACCTGTCTTTACAATTTTTTCCAAGAAGGACAGCAGCTTAAATACTAAGAAACCCTCACGTATACTCACTCTATTAACATCTAAAATTTGTTTATTCATTTGCAATTTTATTGGTTATCTTTTCCAACTAGAATTTAACTCTTCAAGGCAGAGACTTTGCCTTGTTCACCATTTCAGCCCCAGCTCCAAACACAGAAGCAAATGTAGAGTTAGTGCTCAGTCAGTATTGGTTGATTGATTGCTAGAAAAGCTCAGTAGAGAATAATCCTCAAAGTCTAGTTAGTTAAATAGAATTAAATTGTTACATAATTCTATTTGGGTTATTGAAGTGCTCAGTGACAGACACTGCATAAAATTAATGCTTTGAAAGAAAGAGTAAGAGACAAGGGGAAAAGTAGTTCAATACTGAAATTCAGTCTATACAGAGCAGGAGAATGGTCTGAGAAATGGTATGTAGAGATGAGGTGGGAAAGAGAGGGAAGAGTTAGTGCACAAGAACAAGGACAGAAAAAGTACCAGCAAATCAATCAGCTTTACCAAACAGGTGACTTTTCTGAAATCTGTAATTGCAGATGGAACTTGCCTTGTGTATCAACATCCTGCCTAGTTTTTTCTTTATGGAAGAGAGAATGCAGTGTTGCATAGGCCTCTGAGCTAGAACTGCTAACTTACCTCACTTAGATCTGGGCTCAGATGTCACTACTTAGAGATTCCTTCTCTGACCAATTTACCTAAAATAGCACCTACCATATCACCCTCAACTGCATATACCTGCTCTGATTTTCCATATAGTACTTATTTTATAAAAACATATATGCTTATGTTCAAGTATACATAGATGTATGTATGTGTATAGGTATATGTATATCTGTTGAATACTCTCCAAAAGAATGTATGCTTCTCAAGGGGAGGAATTTTTTTCTTAACACTTTCGCTGGTCTATACCCAGAACCTAGAAAACTGCCTGGCTCATAATAGTTGGTCAATAAACATTTCTTGAACATTGAATGGATGAATGAGAGCCAATGGATCTTCAAACTAAGTCCTCAATTAAAACTTCTTTTATTTCCCCCAAGACAAATTTTCAAATTATGAATAGGGTTTTCTAGTCGTTGGCTAAAATCATATTGGGGCAAATTTTCACAAAAAAAGAATTTAACTATGACTTTTTCAGGATTGGAACACTGCAGGTGTTTAAGGAACAGACATGAAATTCATCTCATTTTGAAAAATAAAAAGCTTCATTTAAATCCGTGTACAAGGGCTTCCTTTTTCTTGGCTGCAGTGAGTGGAGAATTAGCTCTGAGATAATAAACACGTGACAGGTGCTAATGGAATTAAACATGCAAATCCCTGCATATCCCTCCAGAAATCTACACCTAGAAAAGTATGCTATTTAGCATGTAGGCTGCTTAGTTATAGTATTATTTACTCTAAACTAGTATGGAAAAAGTTTCCAACTTAAGGCTTAAGACATAAAAAACAGTGAAATTTTATTTTAATTACAGAAATATTTTCTTTCATTTTATCTCATATGTTTGATTCCCCATTTTTTGTCTTTTTATATATATTTTAAAATAAATCATCAGAGATATTATTAACTGGCAACATATAAGAAGGAGGATTTTAGTGAATATAAAGAGGATAGTGATGAGGAAACTCACTTAGGAGTTGGCGGTTCATAGGCCTCAGGTAAAATTACTGATAGACATCAACTGAGGAGAGCCAGATGGTCCAGATTCAATTGATTCAATGCCCATTCTCTGCCTTGGCCCACAGAAGGAAATTTGGCCTGCCATAAACCCATACACTCTGGGGCTTTATGCTTTATATATATATTTTGTTGTTGTTGTTGTTGTTTTTGTTTTTGCCATACGTTGCAGAACACAGGCTCCGGATGCACAGGCTCAGCGGCCATGGCTCACGGGCCCAGCCGCTCCGCGGCATGTGGGATCTTCCCAGACCGGGGCACGAACACGTGTCCCCTGCATCGGCAGGCGGACTCTCAACCGCTGCGCCACCAGGGAAGCCCCTATGCTTTATATTAATTGTATTAGACAAGACCCTTTAGGTTGCAAGTGAAGGAAACCCAACTCAAACCACCTTAAGCAAAAAAGATAATTTATTGCTGTACATAACTTAAAAGACATAGACAGGGCTTCCCTGGCGGCGCAGTGGCTGAGAGTCCGCCTGCCGATGCAGGGGACACGTGTTCGTGCCCCGGTCCGGGAAGATCCCACATGCCGCGGAGCGGCTGGGCCCGTGAGCCATGGCCGCTGAGCCTGTGCATCTGGAGCTTGTGCCCCGCAACGGGAGAGGCCACAACAGTGAGAGGCCCGCGTACCGCAAAAAAAAAAAAAAAACAGACATAGATAAAAATGTCTACATTAATAATAGCTAGTGTTTATAGGTCACACACTGTGTGTCAGGTACTGTGCTAGGCTTTTTACGTGTCCTATCTCATTTAATCCTCAAAATGAAGATTAAATTAAAGTACTATTATTATCTCCTTTTTATACA